TTTTTTTTTGTAATGATTGCCGTTTACTGCTAGTCACTCGTTAATTATACTGTTTTCTCTAATTAGCTTATAAAACTGTTGATGGCTTATTATTCTTAGTGTGAGTTCAAAGCTTGCTAATAAGCCCACCCCACTCAGAAGAGGCAAGATAATGGCTTGTGCACAAGCAAGTGAACTTTTTGTGTGTGTGTGTGTGTGTGGGGGGGGGGGGGGGTTTCCCTAATGACGACACGTCATGTGTATCTCCAATCAGATTACTTGATGAGAAAATGGAGACATTGTTGTTCGGCTGTGTCCTCCCCGGAGTTTCTTTTTTTTTTTTTTGTTGTTTTTTTGCTGCAGTGAGCCATTATTGCAGATCCTCCAAAAGACATTGGCGAAGTCGATAGAACTCGCTTGGATCTGTTCGACTGGACTTTTTTTTAAGAAGAAATATTTAACCGTGTAGATCTGCGCCATGTTGGTGACCCCTTGGTCGAAATGCTGATTTGATGACTCCAATAATTTACTCTCGCTTGTGTTGTCTTTTGTAGGATTTGAAACTGGTTGCGTGTTTACGGCCGTTGAATTCAGCCCGTTGGCTCACGTTCGGATGACGCGGGGTCTCTGTCTTTTCGAAGGCGATGTGGGTGGTGTCCGTTGATCTCGTGATCCTTTGACCTTCCCAATGTTGCCGCAACAAGGCATGCTCTCTTCCCCTTTTGTCTCGGATTGAAGAAATGATGACGGAATAAATACCGCACGCACACTGCCTAATCTGATATTCATTCCTTTCTTATATCGGCCTTCTTGCCAAGGTTGACTAAGGGCACATTATTTAGGCATTTAGGTAGTGTGATAAGGGAATTAGGTTGGTCATTAATCGTTTACACGTCAAATGCAGCAGAGCAGCTCGGGGAGGTGATTTAGTGAGGCAAAGCCACATAGCCCCTGTTAATCCACCTCTCACACGATTTAATTGGAAGAGTCTTCCTGGATAGGAAATTTATGAATGGCTTTAAGGCAATTTCGTCCTTAAAGCCATCATTTATTTGATATTGTTCAAAGAAGCTTTAACACTTTATCCACATGGAGATGCGGTTTTCGTCTTTAATTGAGGTATTGTATTTTTGCAGCTCTTTGATTGGGACTGTTCTGAGCGCTTTAACAATGATTTCAGTTGCGTAATATGCAGTGCAGCGGGCAGCTATGTTACTTATCTATGTTATTTGTTTATTTATTTATTTTTGAATCGCAGTGGGGTCCCATGTTTGGGCCTCCATTTCAATCTCCATGACGATTCAAACTTGAATGAATCTGTACTATTGACTTAACCTTCATTGTGGCCTTAAGCTGCAGTGGCAGCATTGAGCACAATGATGTTTTTTTTTTCTGCTTTATTTGCATCCAAATCTACCAAAGGTCAGGGTATTAATCCTCAGAATAAACCTTATTCTTAACAGGGATGTGCACAGGACACACAAGAGAGAGAAACTACAGAACGGGAACATGAGGATGACAGGCACTTCATCATAAAATATGCACGGCAGTGGGAAGAACCGCCTCTCAGGGCCACAAAAACATAGACTGCAGGAGGTTTCTTGTCTCGTGCCTTTGTCCCAGCTTTGTACCTCCATTCTTATTTGCACTCGCTTCTGATGTGAGAGGATTTGGCACTAAGATACATGGGGTGGGGGAGGAAAGAAAAAAAAATCCTGAAAAGTGGATCAAAAAAAGTAAATGAAAAATAATGTCATATTACAGAAAACATGAGAGGCTAATTTGTGCCGACTTTTTGCTAATTTTGTTCTCGCCACAGAAAGAGGAGCCGTCACCTGCTCGGCGCCACAGTGCTGACAGTGCCAGTGATCCATGAAATAAGCTGCCGCTGGCTTTGTTCAGATAAGAATGAACAAATCTGCACAATGTACTGCTCTCGGAATCTCATTTTCATACTTGCATGCAGGCTGAAGGAAATAAGCTGTTTGCAGGCTTGATTAATCAGACATTTGAGGTTTTTTTTTTCTTTGATCTGTTCTGTCTCCTAGGTAACCTGTTTGACATTATTTAATGTTGAGCGTCGGCTAAGACAATCAAGAGACTAAAACGATTAAAGAGGCGTAATTGTGAACCTTTTTTTTAAATTTTACATATTTTGTATGAAATATATGTTTAAATGAACCAAAATGGGAACGATGTGCATGCAAGCGTGTTTTAATTTGGGTGTAACAGGAAACGATGGCGCGTAATCTCTAAATCGGGGGAAAAAAAGCTGCCTCGACATGAACCCATTTAGAGTCATGCTGATTCATTTGATTGTTCCCCAACAATGAGGCCTCATAGACACGGAGTTGATGTTGGGTTTGTCAATACCATAATTTAATAATCCTGTGTGTGTATGTGTGTGTGTATGATCTCAACGCCCCATCGCAGCCGCTCAGAAGCATCGACACCAATCCAACAAAGAGCAAGGAAAAGCCCCGGTGTGCTATCATCTGCTTGCAAATCTACCGCAAATGCAGATGGAGTTGGCCGTTGTAAGGCTCTTTAAGAGTAGAAAACATGATTTGGAGAATTTTAAAAGCTAGAAAACGGCCGAGGACTGTCATCGTATGTACGCTCCAGGTTATACAGACACTTTCACAAATCTTGTAGTGGCTGTAAAGATGAATGCCTTGAGGGCCCAGCCACAGCCCGGCACTCGCAGCCAGCCGGAGCCCTTATCTTAAATCCGAGCAAAGTACCATTAATCTTTTTGAAAGACCTTTATGGCTTTTAATGTATCCCAAATTAGAACATTTTACACCCTTGGTTCCTGAAATATAGTGATAAAAAGCCTTTAGAGTTTAATTTTTTCTGCCTGCTCGCTCTGACCTGCTTAATCCCAGCATGCATTAGGAGATATTTTAGTTTCAGTCTTTCTAATAAAGTTTATCCCACTTAATTATAATTGAAACATTTCTTTCCCGACCAGGTCTTTTTTTTTTCTTCCCCCCCACCCCCGAAGTGGTGCAGTGGCGGCAGATTTCTTCATTACCTCAAGACTTTCTTCCCCTTTGATTGCGCTGTGAATATTACAGAGAATTACCCCCAACGCTGGGTGAAATTGTTCCAAGTTGTTTATCAAAGTTCGCCCGCGCTCGAATAATAAACCTATCTCAGGAGTGACAGGAGAGGCAGGATTTTCTCTTTGTTTCCCGTGCTTCTGTGTGACTGGGGTTATTGGGATTATTCTGCTTCACAATACACTCGTGTCTTCCCTGGGATTTGAATGTTTGCCTCTTGCTGTCACGGTCCTTCTCGTCACTACTGTTTTCAGGGGCTGCCTCTGCTATTTCAAACAGAAAAGTCGCTACTTGGGATGATTGAGAAGTGCATTTGCCATTTTTTCCCCCCCTTTGTTTATTGTGAACTCTTTTTCACAACAAATAGATAATGTAAGATATCAGTATGTTTTACTGGCTTGTTCAAGAATCTTCTTCTGAGCACCTGTGACCTGTTGGTTGCGATAATGTCCTGTGCCCTCTTTGTTAATCAAAGTGTTGACAATAGGCTTCACGTGACCAGGATTTTTGAGCCGATCACCAATCAGCGAGCTGCAAAAAAACATTTTTTATTTTTTTTTTTTAATGAACAATCAGTGATTCGGTAACGACCAATCACGACTTACCTGTTTTCTGGGTTTGGTCATGTGACCTTCGCAAGCTAAGCCCTTGGGCACTGCGATGCCATTTTCAGTCAACAGCAAGTGGCAAAATGGCCGCCCTCCGAGATGGATAAAAAAAACGCGTGGACGAGTGTTTAGGCCAGGGGTGTCGAACTCATTTAAGTTGCGGGCCAATTTGGAGTTACGTCTTCCCTCGGAGGGCCGTGATGACAGTGAAACCACAAAATGATTACTTGTACACAACAAATTAATAGAGTACTAGTTTTGAAATCAGTCAAGTCGATTAAAATAGTTTGTTCAATTATTGTTCAAGTGAGGGTCAACAAGGTAACAAAATGATTGCAAAATTTCAATGTTATTTATTACACATGATAATTTGACATTTTGGTCCAGATCTTAGCAAGTTGACACACACGATTTGCTTTCGTGGGCCACATGAATTGACCTGGCGGGCTGGATCCGGCCCCCGGGCCTTGAGTTTGACACATGTGGTTTAAACGAACGGGGCCGCACAAAGAAAATGTTTGACTTCCCCACTAAAGCATGATGCTGCCATCACTTTGCTTTAAGTATGGTGTTTTTTGCGGGGTGAGCAGAGTTTAAACAAAAAGTTCAACCTTGGTTTAATGGGACCTGAACACATTTTAGCACCTTTGGAATTTGTCGTGTTTTTTTCTTTGTGAAATATGGCCACTTGGCAGCCTCCCTGAATAGTTTTTTTTTCATCTTACTCATCAATTTTGGACTGTCTACACCAGGGGTGTCAAAGTCATTTTCGTCGCGGGCCACATTTTAGGTACCATTTCCCTTGGAGGGCCATTATGATTGAAATCATATAAAGAAGTCAAGAATAATAGTTTATGGAACTATTGTTTAAGTGATTGTAATGGGGTGTTTGGCAACAAAAAATGCTTACAACGTCTCTCTCATTTATTACAAATGAGAATTTGAAATTTTGGTACATATTTTAGCAAGCTTCATGGAATTTGCCATGTTTGAATTGCTTTCGCGGGCCACATAAAATGATGTGGCGGGCCGGGTTTGACACCTGTGGTCTACACTATTATGT